TATGCACTTTTAGCAGCTCTTTTGGATTGTTATTACACTGATAGAATAAAGAATAAAAGTATTCTTTTCAAAGGATGCTTCTTGGAAGCCCAGAAGATATATTTTAAATCAAATCAAATCAAATCAAATCCAGGCACTGTAATAAGAAATGTGGACTTTAACTGGCAGATCTGTCCAAGTGCTGGACTGCTTAACTGGCAGGATCAATGTTGATCAGGAACTGCACGTATGCGATTGATAAACCAGCTCAAAAAATGGAGGTGAAGGGGAGAAATAATGTCAGAACAGCCACCGTGAGAAAATGAAAAGCTAATTGGTTGAGTGGATAACTTGGTGACTTATACAGAAAATTGGAAGGGCTGAGGAGGATAATGGCATGGAAGGAAAACTTCCCTTCCTATAATCTTGTCTCTGGGGCTCAGAGTTGGGGCCCCACAACCTGGTCCTACCTTTTTCATATTTCAGCTGAAATCCATTTCTTGCCCAAAACTTCCAGCTGTAAGTCACGGTCACGTTGCCTCCCTTTATTCGAAGGGGCTCTGGGATTTTATAACCGCAGATTTTCCTGGACGGCTGAGAGGGCGAGCGGATTATCAGCATCTCTGAGCCACAGGGAAGATAGAAGCGCTGGAACCTGGGGGAGAAGCGAAAAGACCAGAGACCCAAATCAGATTTGTCTTTCTATGGGGAAACCCAGGAGAGGCATTCATGAAGACACTGGGGGGCTGAGAAGGAATGTGTCTATTGGTACACTTGGCATGAAACCCTCCCCAGATAAGTCATTCTTTTGGATCTCATCAGAGAGACAATCTTCCCTGTGCAAAGTAGTCTTGGAGGAATATTAGGGCAAAGTCCAACTTTTGCAAGCCCTGGGTGTTCCACTGGTGACACAGGGACTTGAGGAACTGCCCAGTGGGGACAAGTTGAAGGAACTTGGGTTGCTCAGTACGGAGAAAAGAAGACTTAGAAGAGACATGATAGCCATGATCAAGTACCTACAGGGAAATCCAAGAAGTATTTTTCATGGTCAAAGAAAACAGAACCAGATATAATCTAGACTTGGTTGAAATATGAGGAGAAACAGTCTTCCTAATGGAGGTTGGGTTTTTCCATCTCTGAAGGTCTATTCAGAAAAGGCTGAATAGCCATCTCTCTTAGATGCCTACAAAGTTTTAGGCCAGTGGTTTTTTAAATTTTGCAATAAATTTATAGGTTGGGGATTCAAATACCCTCAAAACCTCTCTGCCCCCCGGCCCG